TTTTTCGGCTTAGGGCTGGGTGACATGGAAGTAAGTCAGATATTCAATCAAATAAATCAAGATGAAGAGTCCTACAAACGAATACAGAATGTTAAAGTTCTCGTATGCGATGAGGTTTCAATGCTTAGTGCATCTTTGCTCGACAAAGTAGAGTATCTGCTGCGTTTGGTTAAGGGCAACTCCCGTCCCTTCGGAGGCGTCAGAGTAGTATTAGCGGGAGACTTTTTCCAGCTCCCTCCGATCGAACTGAGGCCGGATTTCACCCCCAATTATTGTTTCATGGCTGATTCCTGGCAGAGGGGTATGGACATCTGTGTGTTTTTGAGCGGCGTGTTCAGACAGGAAGATGTGAACTTCCTTGAAATGATGGAAAACTTAAGAATGGGACGACGAACACCCCAATGCATAGATCTGCTTAATAAACTGACAAGGCCACTGCAACAAGTTGACATTAGGCTCTATTCGCTCAAAGCTGACATGAATGTATATAACCAAGAATGTTTGGATGGAATCGAAGGAAGTGAAAAAAGGTTTCGGGCCCAAGACATGGGCAGGAAGAAAGAAAAACTCGACAAACTGTGCCAGGCTCCAAATACGCTTATTCTTAAGACGGGAGCACCTGTCATACTGTTAAAGAACCTATTTGCGATTTCTGATAATTTAGTCAATGGCCTAGGGGGTATTGTGACCGGTTTTTCCGGGGGGAACCCAGTGGTTTCCTTTCAATCAGGGGAAACACATATCATTGAGAGGGAGATGTTTGGGTACTATGAGCATGGAAAACTGGTAGCAGCAAGGCTTCAATACCCACTGCAACTGGGGTTTGGGATTACAATTCACAAGAGTCAGGGAAGTACCCTGTGTAATTTGGAGATTGTGGATGCAAACATGTTTGCTGCCGGCCAACAATACACGGCTTACACACGTGCTACGTCGCCGGACACATTACGTGTCCTGCCAGGATACAGTAAATACGTAATCGCACCCCATCCACATGTAATCCACTTCTATGCCTCCTATGTACGACTCCTGGCAAATGTTGTTGTGCCAAATGTATCGAAATGCACGTTATCGTTGTGTTTTGAGCCCGGGGATGCAGGGACTAGTGCCCCACAAGATCCCATCCCTGACCTAGTACCCTTTCCACCCATACCCATCCCAGAGGGATATGACCCTGCCACAATACTGAGGCTACTAAGGGAGGACCTCAATCCATTTGTAAACCTACTCAGTGCCGCTCAGTCCCTTGATGGAAATGAATGTCTCTTGTCTTTGTTAGGGTATTTGATTGGAAAAGTCGAAGATATGTTCAGGGGGAAAAGTCATGACAAAGCAACAGGAAAGGAGGTCATCAGTAGAAAGACTTTCACGACCCACATAGCTAAGATTCTGGCACTTACCACAGAAGAGGAAACAAAGACCAGGTGGGCTTCTGCTCATAACATATCGTGTACTCAAACTGCCGGAACTATTCTCGCGAGGCTAGTCATGGTAACATACAAACATGTGGCCAACATGATTGACCCAGTTGCAGACTTGAGAGCTAATCTAGAAAGCAACCTGCAAAAAATCCAACCAAACATAAGATCATTCAATCTGTCTAAGGCCAATAGTGGAAAAGTCAGATACTTGATTGGATGGGCGATATACAGGATCATTTCCAACTTAGACTCGCAGCTAAAATGTCTCCTCAACCACAAGTACACTGGCAAAAAAGCCAAAGAGACGGAAAACAAAATTGAGGAATGCAGGGCACTGAAGGCACTGTGCTGTTAAATGCGAGAAGACACAACTCACCTTCGAATCCATTCGAGGTTCAAATTCAGTCTTGAACATTCTGACAGGAGAAATAGGGGCGGGCTCTTCATGGTGAATGACAACATGTTCCTGTTTGCACTAAGCCTAGAGTCCATCTGTTCAAAACTGTTTAAAGTGGAAGTAGTTGACATTTTGGGGAAGGAATCCACAAAGACGTTGACAAAGATTGTGAAAAACAATCCGCTGCTGAAGAGCCTATTCATTGAATATGTTAATGCTGACTTCGAACCCGATGTTCAGATTTCTTTGTCGCACACACCTATGCCAATTGAGGACGAGTATGTCTCAGTTCCAATGGCAGGTGAGTCCGCCCCGGATCCAATGATGGGAGAGTCCGTCCCGGTTCCAATGGCAGGTGAGTCCGTCCCGGTTCAGTCCGCCCCGGATCCAATGATGGGAGAGTCCCCCCCGGATCCAATGATGGGAGAGTACGCCCCGGTTCAGTCCGCCCCGGATCCAATGATGGGAGAGTCCCCCCCGGATCCAATGATGGGAGAGTCCGCCCCGGTTCAGTCCGCCCCGGATCCAATGATGGGAGAGTCCGTCCCGGATCCAATGATGGGAGAGTCC